GGAAAACCATTCCCTTTGCTAAAACATTCTATATTTTCTGCTGTTATTTTATATATTTAGAATTATTTTGATGTTTAACTCCTTAAACCATCTTGAATTTATTATTATTTTATAGTAAAAGACTATGACTTAATTTTTTCCAAATAGGTACCAACCCTACTTATCAAAGGGCCTATTCTTTTCCTAATGAACTAAAATAACTTGGTGATATAGTAAATTTCTGAATATGCATAGATATGTTTTGTGATTCTCTGTTCATTTGACAATATTCTATTTTTCAATATTCTTTTTTTTAAATATGTCTTTATTGATTTTAGAGAGAGAGGAAGGGAGAAAGAGAGAGAGAGAAACATCATTGGTTGCCTCCTGTACACACCTGGACCAGGGATTGAACTTGCAGCCTAGGCATGTGCCCTGACGGGGAGCCCAACCAGCCGCCTTTTGGTGTGTGGGACAACGCTCCAGCCAGCTGAGCATCCCAGCCTGGGCTGTCAATATCCTTCTGTTGACTTATTCTATTTGACAACACAGTTCTAACTCTTGTAATATTTTTTGATGCCCAAGTAGAGTAATTTTCTCAATGCCCATCCTCACCTTTGTACCCTACCATTATTATTTTCAAATTCTTCTTGGCTAGTCTTGTGCACTTTCTTTTTCATGTGAGTGTAAGAATGTATATAAAATTTTATTAAACAAACACATAAAACCTGTGAATATTTTGATTTGCAGTACATTGAATATTTTAGAAAATTTGGGGATAATAGACATCTTTTACAAGAAGGGCTCTTCTCATATGGGAGCATGGTGTTTCTTTCCCTTAGTCTGGGCTTTATAATGTTCTTCATAAAAGCTTAAAAATGCTTGCTAGGGCTTGGCCTGGGTTGGTCAGAGCACCCTCCCAATACACCAAGGTTGCAGGTTTGACACTGGGTCAGGGCACACACCAGGATCAACCAATGAAGGCATACATAAGCGGAACAATGAATCAATATCTCTCTCCCTCTTCCTCTCTCTCTAAAATCAATACATTAAAAATAATTTTAAAAAAATGCTTGCTAGGTTTGTTCCTGTTTTATGACTTTTGGTTATTTTGACAGTGTTCCTTTCCCCTATTGTTTTGTTCTTATCGTCCATTGCTGTGTTGGAGAAATTAATTTCTTTTAATATGCATCCTTTGAATTCTGCCCTTGGCCAACCTGTCTTACGAAGTGTGTTCTTCATTGGATTGTATTATATCCTAGTCATGCAACCATTTCACCAACAAACCTCTTAGTTCTCTCTCTCTCTCTCTTTACAAATTCTATACCTCTTGTCTGTGATATGGAGTAAAACGGTGACAAGTGGTGAGGGTTATTGCCATCACTGCCTTCCTCTCACTATAATAGAGACGCATTTCAAAATTAAGGGTAATATTTGGTGGGTGTTTCTGGCAGATACCTTTTATTATGTTAAAAAACTTTTTCTTCTGTTCCTAGCTTACTTAGGATTTTTCAAAGCAAAGATGAATCTTGATAGTTTTGCTTTCTACTGCATTGAATTTCTTCTTTCATCCAGAAATTTAGGAATTTGTGTTAATATTTTACATTCTAATGTTGAACTACTTTTGTATTCCTGAGATATTTCCTACTTGGCTGAGAGGCATTATTTTTAATACACTAGGGGACCCAATTTGATATATAAATCAAGACATTTGTGACAGAATCATTAAGTGAGATTGGCTTGATACCCTC